TAGCAAAAGAACAATACAAGCAATACAGAGCTACAAACAAGGTGGTAGGAAATAAACAATGTTTGTTCTACTACATATTGATATCTTCAAAGTGGTTTTTCAGGAAAACAAATAGAGACATGCAATCAAGGAATCATTAACTATTTCAGCAAAGAAATAGAAGACAGTAGTTCAACTATGTTAACTGTCCTGTGTATACATACATATAAAATTTCTCCTTCTTTCCCTTCTTTTTTCCCACATCCCAGTTGCCCTTTACCCTTGAGCATTTTCCTCTTGCTTCACAATGTCTATCATACCTCCTAGATTTTAGTCACTCTTTTAGGTTTTACACTAGTGAGATAATGCGGTGCTTGTAACCTAAAGCAGATGTAGAACTTAGGAGTAGATAGCAACATTTACCATATCTGTTGGGGGAAAAGTGATAAATAATAAATAGTGCTTTATTATTTGTTAGCAATAAATGATAAAGGTGAAATTTATTAATAATAAATAATAAAGGTAAAACTTTTTGTGCAATAAAGAAAATGTCTGAAATAAGATTTTTTCCAAATTATTTTAATAATTCATTAATTCAAATTATATTATTGTCTGTGTATTCATAACATAAGTATCATTCTGATCGTAAACTTCTTTCATAATGATAATACATAAAAATGAAACATCTGGTGTGAAATTTGGTAAGAGTAGGACAATCATCTGTTAAAAAAGTACTACGTAACTTTACATGTTAAAAAAGTACTACTTCATGAGAAACCACTTTGAAGATATCAATATGTAATACAAGCATTGTTAATTTCCTACCACTTTGTACCTCTGTATTGTCTGTACTGTTCTTTTGCTATTTTGTAAAAGGTTGTCTGTCTGTTACTGTTTTCTTCCTTTTATTTTTAAAATAAAAACCACAAAAAAGTACTACTTAATTTTATTAAGCTACATTTTATTTCCTTATATGGAAAATACTTTAATGTGGTAGTTTAAAGTTAAAATGCATTGGCTCTTTGTAGATATCTTCATACATAGTATTAATATATTTTTGATAAATATGACACGAGTACTGAAATATAATTTCTTTATTTGCTGGTATATATCAAATGCTTATGCTGCCACACAACTTATACAAATTTTATGAGTGTATTACATAAGGTTGTCATCATACTTTTTGATTTCTGTGCAATAGAAATATATAAAGATTACTGTCCTCCTTTGCAAACTATCTTCCCTTTTTTCACACCAGAGAGAGAAATTATTTCCTTACCTCTTGCTATGTTATCACGCAACAGCACTGTGGAGTTTAGATTTGGTACACAATTTCCCTGCATGGTATCTACTGACCCCTACTTTTTCACTTTCAGAATTAAAGGTATCTGTAAAATATTGAGCTTTCCTCACAATGTAAAATCACAGTTCCAACAAGATAAATAGCAATAATAATGAAAGACAGCAACCTGCTACATGATGAAAATAGTTCAAAGTATTCTAAGGGTCAATTATTTATCTCACAATAATCATGAAAGAAAGCTGTCATTCTTACATTTTCCACTTAGTAATGAACAAATAACAATAGCAAAACATAAATTGGACAAGTAAATTTCAGAGTCAGAAAATTTTGAAAATATCTTCACAAACTTTCATAATTTTTACCATTAGAGAATTGATAAAATGCCAGTATGAATTCCATATTAAAAACAATTCATCACTTTACTCCTACATGGGCCTAAAAATGACCATAGATTTGCTTTTGTCTTTAAATGAATATATTACAATGAACTTTGTACATTACTTACCTTACCAACTTATTACTGTGTTAATTATGTTGGGGAATAGTTTCTAAATCTCACCTTGCCTGACCTGGAATATCTGGTTTAATTTTACCACCTTATCTAACCTTGTACATATTTCTTATCCAGTCACTTCCAGCCATTGTCATTATGACTCAGCATTCTATTTTTTGACAATACAAATTTATTCTTCACCTATACAGAGTGTAAGACAGTATAAAAACTACACAAGAGAATATTAGTTTAGTACACCAAAAATTTAGAAGCATCATGAATCTTAAAACATGATCTGTTGCATTCCTAAGAAGCAATTTCTCAGTTATAATCAACATACTTTCTACTAGGAAAATAGATACTCACTAGAATGAAGGCACCAAATACCTGAAACTCTAGTGCTGGTTTGGTCAGTGTATATATGCAAAGGTGATGTGTTAAGGTGAACCCAGGTCCAGCAGAATTTACTCACCATAAAGAAGCCTGAGCTAGGTACCAATGGAACCAAAATTGCTACCTGCCATGGAGTCCATTCTGAATGTACATCCGGAGGTAAATCACTGGACAACACTGCTGTGTAGAGAACACATGGAGCAACGGTTAATTTACATTTGGCACCAACTTTGTTTGCCACTGTATTCAAGAGGCTCATTTGCATAAGAAAACCTGTGCTTCCCACTTAGGGCAAAGG